GTAGAAAATTCTGGAATTCATACAGATTTTCTTTTTCATGCTCCCAAAGGTGCAGAGTTAATGCATGCTTAGCTTTGCCATAGCTCTGCACCTCTGCAGCTGCTTTTTCTCATCATCATCATCATCATCATCATCATCATCATCATCATCATTTAAGAGATCCTAAAGACTCTGTTCACTGATAGTGGTTCAGTGACCTATAGCGAACAGCAAAACTAATGTCTTACTCAACAGTTCTCAGAAAAGGTCACAAATTCTCATGCCCCTTATGCTGGGGGGGGGGGGCTGCTATCGCTCAGATGTGTAATATGACATCAGCATTTAATGGTCCTTGACCCCAAGCAAATATTAAATGCTGCCTCTATTTTATTTATAGGATTTATGGGGCCGCCCACCTCACACAGGTGACTCTGGGCGGCATACTAGGATTAAAGCACCCAAAAAATGACACCTAAAGGTTGCCAACCCTTGATACAGGGGGATTACTGTGGCAAATTTATCAAGCCATAACAAAAGGAGATAAGGTGAAATGGGGCCATTCCATGAGACCTGCGGAAAGACCAGCCCCATCCGATTCTAATTCTCCTTGAACTGTATCCAGTTTGTCATTTTACAACAGCTATCCAGACTCAGTCTTTTAGTTCTTTCTTCCCCATCCTTTTTTCTTCTTCCGTCACTGGAACATTTTACTTTTTAAGCTTGTGAACACTTCCTAGCTGGTCTAGGAAACTTTTGATTGGAGGGCAGGATAAAAATGGTTTCAGATAAGTAAAGCATAATAAGTAGTTATTACAAAAATAACCATTTGAAAGTATTATATCCAAGAGAAATGTACATCTAACAAACATGTGAACCAATTGGAGCAATCATGTCCAACAAACAAGTCTAGGAATATTTTTTTGTTACAAGTAGTCCTTGGTTTATGAGGGCAATTGGGACTGGAATTGCCATCACTAAGCGATGTGGTCATAAAGTGTGATGTTGCTTAGCAGGGTCGGTTACTGTCATTAAGTGAATCATCACAGGTTGCTAAGCAAGGATGTCATGTGGTTGCCATTTATGAATTCCTGCTGGCTTCCCCATTGACTTTGCTTGTGGGAAGCTGGCAAAGAAGGTTGTAAATGGTGATCACGTGACTGTGGGTTGCTGAGATGGCCAGAACTCCAAGGACTGGTCATGAGTACCACTCATTCAGTGCCTTTATAAGTTGAATGGTCACTGAACAAACATTGAAGTGAGGACCACCTGTATGTGAAAATTGTTTATTTAAAGGAGGGGTTTTTTTGCGTGGTATTATAGCCACTGAAGACTCTTATAGCACTATGGTATTCTTATATTTGGAAGATCAAAAAAGAAGAAGCAGAAACACCATTAAAACATTAAAATCAGATCGATGCTTCTTTGTTTTCACTTAAAAGTTAAAGGGTCATTTCCATCTCTCCCCCTCCACCCCAGTAATTTATAAATTCCAGCCTTCAAGTTTTGGTTTTAAGATTCAAGTCTGAAAGTTTGTCATGATTTTTTATTGCGTCGAAGCAGTTCTGTTCTCTTTTACTGCTCAGCTAATTACGGCACAGCCCCTCCACCAAGACCTTTAAAAGTTTACACATCGAACCAAAAAACTCCAATTGTGACTTGTTAAAATAATATGACTAACCTTCATGTCTACATTGCTAGAGTTAGCCTGCTACATGAAAACAAGAATCTAGAATGCATTATCTCAAATTCAACATAGAGAAGATTTATATTTTTAAAAGAAGGGCTCATACAAGTCATTCCAGTAATGAACATAAAACGTGGAAGGTATTCCAGCCAAGTCTGATAAGTATTCTGGGATTTATTCAGCAAAAGGACTAATATACACACAAACTTTGTACAGCTGTGCTCCATTAAGCATCTGCCTATTCTGGCATATGACCTAATTCCACCGCTGCTTGGCCTATGGCACGGGGACTATAAAAATTTATGAAAACACGCCAAATGCTTTTTAACAATTTCATACAAATATGTACACCTGGACGTTGGATGCATCATCCCCATCCAGCCATTTGTTTTTTTAATGGTGCAGAATAGAGAAGGGATCACCTGCTGTCTTACTTCTCCCCTCTATTCTGCTACTTCTATGTTAAAGCTGGGAATGACCAGCGGCCACTCCCTGTGGGACCGTGCATGAGAATTACCTGCCGTGTTGTTTTCAGTGGCTCTGGAAAGAAAGTTCTGCACTTTTTAACATATAGCCGGAGATACAGAGAAAATATAAATTCTTGCCTGTTGTTCAAGTCTCTCCCTGATGTTGCTTGCTTTTTGTCCAGTTAACTTTCTTTTTTAACCTTTGCGGGTGTTTATTAAGTAAACATAAAGCTATATCTTTTTTGTTTGGCTGAACTGAATGGCGTGTGTGCTCACTCTGATCTGGATGCAGAGATTAACTGGGCGTACGCTGGGCGCAAACTCAACTGGAAATTACCCGCCGTAATTTGCCAACGTTGGAAAAGAATAAAACAAGCTAGCTACATCTGAAACAGATGTTGGTGGTTGGTCTGGGGAGTGAGAGACTCTTTAAACAAACTTAGAAATGGTTTTCAAGCAAAGAAGACAGACATTTCATCTAAAGTATGTTTACAGCAGTCTTTATGGATAGGCAATTCTATGCACGTTTTATTTAAACAAATGTCTTCCATTATTACATTGTAATAACTGAGCCACTGTTCCACTCTTGACTGCAATGTTCACCTGCAATATAATGTCATAACTAGTGTGTTTTACAGGGTTGTGGGAAAAACGGCTAAAAACATGAATCTGAAAGTTTCTGAGCTCTTAATGGTGTTAATGGTGACCGTACTGGTGGCTATGAAGTTGAATATCTGATCACATTAATCATCCTACCATCATGAAGAATTATAAACAATTTTGTTGCAAATTCTACTCCAAAAGGTTAGCCATAACATGTGTACACCCATATATATCAACCCTCCCATAACACAGCTGGGCAACACTCAATCATATTCAGTCCCTCCTCCCTACCACCTCCCCATATTGTCCATGCAACATTTGAAGAACGCTTACAGAAAATACATAGCGAGGGATTGTCTCAAAGTCCAGGGGTACTGCAACTCTAATCCGAATGTCTGCTTTTCCTTGGATTGAAGTTGGGGAGATGATAAAATGGTTGGAGTTGTTTCCCACCAGGTAAACTTCAAAAACACTGTTGAGTCCCTGTAAAAAACAGTAAAGATAAAAACATTAAAGCCAACGAATTTGGTTGAATTGTTTGCGTGAGTGAGTTGGCCTAAACACCTTAAAGGATCTATTTAATTCAATAGAAAAAAAAAGAAGAAAACAAAATAAGGAGGGAATGACAGTATGGGAAGACGCTAAATAGTCAAAATGGATGTATGTGTGTGGGGGGTGTAGGTTTAGGTAAACCTACAAACTTGGAATATAGTCAGATCAGGTTCCCACTGCAAATTATCTAATGATGGTAATCAACTCCAGCAGCCACTGTTTCAATATGATCCATCTTGCTTAACTGCACCATGAAGAATCAGTGTAGAAGTGCAGATAATACTATTGAAGAATACTGCTAAATATTTATTGCTGCTAAAAATTTATTGCTGAAATCACATGGTATAGGTATAAAAACGGCTTGATAAAAAAGCACCTCATAATAATATCTTTTAATAGTGATTTCTTAGTAGATTTAGAATGCATTAATTCTGCTGCTGATCTAAAGTTATGTCATTTCCTACCAAAATACTGTTCTATTGTTAGAAAATTAATTAAGCTAGCCTACTGTAACATTAATAATGAATATTTACCAATATTTATTGACCACCCTTTCCAAAACAAGTTCCTGTTGCTGATTTAGTGGCTGCTCAGCTTTTTCAGCAAAGCACCACCATGGCTTGATGAAATCTTCTCATTTGAATCAGCTGGTCATAGTGGACCTGCTATTGTCTATATTATGCCAGACTTGTTATAATAAACACATCAGACATGTTTTACATATACTTTTTGGTCAGTTCGGCTAGTGTACAGATTGCATTCCTTCCTGGAATGGGGGAATATTAGTTTGGGTTTTTATTTCAATCAGTGTTGAATTCAATCAATAGCTAGAATACTGGTAGGGAAAAAAATAACCTGGAAGAGATTGGGTAGGATAAAATTGTAAGAATACTGAGGCAGTGATTCTCTCACCTTAATTCATAGATACTTTCTTTTTTATCTTCTTTTTTATGTATTTCACCAGGCACAATGGGTGTCTAGCAAAATTTCCCAATTTTTTTATTTCCTTCTGGGATCCGGAGTTTGGCAGTGGGGGGCACAGTTTTGCATTGGTTTTCCTTCTTTCTCGGTGGCCCATTCCAATCAATGTTGGAGGGGGGAGAGTTCCAGGCCTCACTGCTCCTTTTTAATATCTATGTGAAACTGCCGGGGGAGGTCATTCTCCAGCACAGGGTATGGTGTCATCAATATGCAGTATACATCTCCACCGTTGGCTGAGCTGTGCCATTCAAGTGGTAACCCAGTACCTGGAGGCTGGGAGGGTCCAGATGGGGAAGAAACGGCTCTTACTCAGCCCTAGCAAGATGGAATGGCCTTGGGTTTTTGGCCCCCTGGGATCCAGAGAAGGTGTCAACCAGACAGAGCTGGTGAGCAGTTTGGGGGTCCTCCTGGACTCATGGCTCCTGCTCAAGAAGCAAGTAGCAGCTGTAGCTGGGGGGAGGGGTTTGTGCAGATTCCTGGAGTGGAAAACCTTGCTCATGGTCCCTCATGACCTAATCACTTCCCAGCTGGACTATTGCAGTGCTGTCTACATAGCCTGCCCTTGATGACCATATAAGTTTCCTCAATTAATAAACATCACATTTTCTTTCCTTTCCATGAGGTATGGAGAATGACCCCATAATTGTAATGTGTTCTATACAGTGCAAGGAACGTATGGAATAAAGGATCAAGACAACTGTCATGATGTTACTATGCTTGACCTTGGTAGTTAGCAGATATGAGTTGTTAAAAGAGAAAGGTCAGCTGAGAAGGTCAAGGATGCAATTATGGGGAAGGATGTGAAAGGAAGTTCTGAGTAAAGGTGATAAGAAAGAAAGCCATGTCCAAAGTCTGCATAAGTAATGTATTAACTTATGATTGGTTGTTTTTGTTCACTGTACTTCATATAGGCAATGTATTTTCTTCTTTCTTTGTTCTCCCTCTACAAATACCATTCTCTTTGTGTTAAGAAAATAAACTTTGCTGTACCCATTTTGGTCTGGTTCTTTGACTTTCTGGGTCAGACAGACCCAACTGACAAATCCAGGCTAGAAGCAAGGGGAATCTGATTGGTCCAAATTTGTCCTTAACAAAAGTCCTGTTTTCAAATACTGTTTGGAAATTAATGTTGATACAGAATGAACAAAGGTAGTTGTTGATAGCAAGTGTTATCTCTAATCCTAGTTTTGGGGCACAGGAGACCCTTATTGTACCAACTACACTATGTGTCTATTTTAGGGACAAAAACCGCTGATTATAATTTCAAGGCTCAGGCTGAAGACTGCAATGACTGAAACACTCCACTTCCCTATTTATTTATATAAAATATTAATCTGTCTATCTACTAAGGTCATCTAGCAAGGTCTTCTATCATTCATTGCTCTGCAGTGAGATGCTGAGGATGATTCCTCAGGTTGTAAAGCATTTTTCCCCATGAGGGACACATGCGGATTGTGTACCATTAAGAATTTTGTCCTAATGCCAAGCATATCAATAATAGATAATCAGCTTCTGAAATCTAAAGTTAGCATTTACCTCCCTTTATATGAAACCATCCATCAGCATAAATTGAGGCAAGGAAAAGCACAATAATTCATTTTCCTTGACATACTGGCATCTCAGTGTTTACTATATTTACCCAGAAGGCCCACTGATTCCAAGATGATAGGCTTTTTTCATTGAGTATTATTTTGGCAATCGCTGTATAGTGGAATTTACAACCACTGCAATGGTTCGAGGGAATTCATTGTGCGTTAGTCACTAGTGAAACCCATTTAGGCTAAGAGCTGGATCCTCACAATCATCTGTGGTTTCTGAGTTTACATAATTAGATTCCAGGAACAGGCCTTAAATGGACCTGGGCCCTACAGAATCCCCAATAGGTAAGGTTGCATTAATAATTTGGTCTATTCAAATCATTAGATCAGGCATCTCACTTAAGGCAGATGCCCTTTTGGATCTGAATTTGGATCTGAAGCCATGAAGCAGCTGCTTCATGCTTCTATTTCAAAGCCCTCCCAAGTCTTCTGGGCATGCAAGATAGCTAGTGAACAAAGAGGACGGACATTGAAAACAAGAGAACAGCTAAAACAATGATTACTTGTACATTTGCTGGTATCCTCTAACTCAGTGTTTCTCAACCTTGGCAACTTTAAGATATGTGGACCAACTCCTAGAATTCCTCAGCCAGCATAGCTGGCTGGGGAATTCTGGGAGTTGAAGTCCATGTATTTTAAAGTTGCCAAGGTTGAGAAACACTGCTCTAACTGAAGTGTTCTAGCTAGTAAGCACCGTGCCCTGACAAAGAAATTCCCAAAATGCACTGGGTTTTTCACACCATAAAAAGTTTTGCTGGCCTTTGAGATATCCTCTCCCCTTATTCTTTCAGATACAGACTGAAGCAAAGCTATACGGAATGATTTCCACCAAGATAGCTGGCAAAGTGAAATCATCAGGAAAGTCTTGAAACAGCCAAACCAACCTTTGCAGCTGTTTTCCACTTTCAAGGACTGTAGCCATTTATCAAATGATTTGCACCAACTGAGTTCAAACTCTACACAGGTATTTATTTGCAGGGTTATCTAGCTTCAGGAAAGGCACTTCATGTAAGTAGCTTCTCCAACCTGATGCCTTACAGAAACACTGTAGGAGAACTTCTGTCATTACTAGCTGGCATGCCATGTCGAGAAACTGGGATAATGGGAGTAGTAGTCCAAATTAGATTAAATCTGGGCTTCTCTTAAGGGAACCCAGATTTAAAAATGCCCAGTTAATTTATTGTGCCTGGAGAGAATACATTCCTACTTTTAGGAATTCCCCCCAAGTCTGCGCAATCTATTTTTCTCTTCATAGAATTATAAATTGGAATATTCCTGGAGAGGATCTAGTCTGGCTCACAATTTATGGCAGAATCTGCAATGCCTAATCCTGCTGTACTATTCCTGCAAGGAGAGATGGCTTGCTTAAATGCTTCCTCCAAAGGAAAATACACCCACCCTCAGAGCAATGGGTTTCCCTCCTAAACATTTATTCCAGTCTGGATTCCCCCCACCCCCGCCAATTTTTAGCAAAATCTGCTCCCTGCGTTTTTCACCTATCGATTAGAGGCTTGCCTTCTAACACTTTCTGCTACTTCTTTTGCTGGATAGCGTTTCAGATATTTGAAAACAACTGTGTCATCTGATCTCTCAGTGGCAGATACAGAACTCTTCCAGCTGTTTCTCTTAGGGTTACCATCCCTACCGCTGTTGTAGATGTTCCAAGTTGTTCATTTCCAAGTGCAGCTTAAATAAAGCATCATAATTGCAAGGAAGAAATGGATGCCCTACTATGAAATTTGAGGTTAGACAGATTAGTGGCAGGATCTTTAATCCTCCTGAGATATTAATTCTAAATAATTATTGTGAAGTTTAAAGTTTTAAAAAGAACTACTTTTTGGGCTAGTACAGGCCTTGTGCCAATTGCTAAATACTGATTAGCCCAAACTGTAGAGCTTTTGGGAATTAGTTGAGCAAAATACAGTTGTGTCGCCCAAATATTGACACTTTGCAATCTCCACACCAAACATTGTATTCCTTGCCACAGCCCAACCCAGCTGAGCACATTACAATAAAGTTGAAAAAACTGCTGGAGCTGAATTTCCAATTTTCCCCCAAATGGAGTCAGTCTTGTTGGAAGGAGGGACCAATTAAATGCACGAAAGGGCACTAATAGCAAAAGCTGGCTGAGCGTGACAGCTGAGAAACGGGTGACATGGCTAGAGAATCCCCCTTTCCATTTCTATCTCCCTCCTTCTCCCTACCAAATCCAACAATAAAGAATGCGGCAGAAAAAAGCTAAAATAATATTGATATTCATATAGTACCAGAGGCAAAGATAATATCTCACAAACGGATAAAGATGACTAAGTTCTTGATCCAAGGCTCTGGCAATGTAGGGAAGGCAAAACC